TGGCGGCGGGGGGCGGGACCGCGTCCGGAGGCCGCACCTCCCCAGCACCCTCCCTCCCTGAAGATGGCTGCGGAGGCCCAGGGCCAGCGCTCTGGGATGCAGGCAACGTCCCCGGGGTTGCACCCGAGCTTGGACACGCAGGTCACCTGCCGCCGCGCCGCCTGGTCTCTGCAGTCCGAGGGGACGCGCGCCCTAAAAGTGGAAGGTCTGAGCGAGGTCGGCCGGATCGGAAGGGCTGGGAAGGGACGTCCCCTGGGCTGGGAGCCAAGAAGCCTCCCAAGTCGGCGCGCCCCAGGAGCCCTCAAGGATGCAAAGGGGCGGCGTGAGATGCTCTCCGACCTGGGGCTCTTTGGAGTGAGTGGGCAGAGACCCCCTCTGATATCCAATGAAAATTACTCTCCCCCTTCGCCAACGAAATGCTCCACCGCCCGCACGCTTGTGCAACCTTGATGTAGTTTTAGCCGATCAGAAGCCCCAAGACTCAAGTTAAGAAATCCTGTTATAGGAAGTTCCTATCCTAGGCAGACAGTACAGCCCTGCTGTGGTTTACTTGGTATGAAGCTTAGAAACGAAACCAATACCAAGAAAGCAAGGAGACCAGCCAACGTGGTTGGTTAATCGATTGGTTGATTCATCACTTCATTCATCCCACTGAGCGTCTTCCCGCAGGCTGGGTACGCTGGTAAATAAGAACAGAATGCCTGCGGCATGAAGACGGCAGCCTAGTGGGAAAGCTTTTCATTAATCAAAGAAGCATGTTATTAAAGGAATAATTAAATCCTGAATATCCTATGAGAACATGACCCCTACGGGGGTTCAGGGTATGTTCTGGGGTTTGCCTGAAGAAGTGGCCTCTGAGCTGAGACCAAGAGGATGACATTAACTAGGCAAAGAGGAAAACGGCATGTGCTAAGGGGTCTCCCAGGAGAAGGGAACATGCTATGTTGGAGGAATCTAAGGAAGGCTGGTGTGGGTAGAGAGCAGAGAGCTGAGAGGAGATTATGATAAATAGGCTCAAGGAGGAGGCAGGGGTGTATCATTCAGGATATCATAGGCCAGAGACCTTCAAACACTTTTTTGACAGGACTACAATGAGAAAATAAGTTTATGAAATAATACGTATGACTACGATTGGCATTGCAATCTGATATTTCTAGTCTATTCTACTTTATTCCATTTTTTTAAGAAAATGCTGACGGTGACCCACAAAATTGTTTCTATGACCCACTAATGGCTCATGACCTACAGTTTGGAAAGAAATATTATAAATCGTATTGAGGATTTTGATCTTTCAACGGTGGTGACACAATCACATTTGCTTTCTGGGCAGAGATGGGTGAATTGGAGTGGTCCAGAATGAATGAAGAAAAACATTTGCAATAATCCAGTTGAGAGATGGTAGGTTGGACTAGGGTGGTGGTGGGAGAGAGAGAGCCAGAGCACCTACTCAGGGCCAAGTGCCTTTACTTTCATCTTGTTATTTAATCTTATTTCCCCAGAGTGCCACATGGGGAGCTGAGGACCAGAGCGTTTTGAAACTTACCTGAGATGGCACAGCCAGTGAGTTCTGAGCCAGATTTGAATGAGACTTGTCTGGTTCCTACACCTGGCCTTTCCCCTAAGTCACAGCAAATCCATCAAGTGAGTCTATAAAGTAGGAGATGAATTGTCAGGAGAACATATTTTGGAGCTTAAGAATGAATTCCTTATAGATTTCAATGCCTGAAAATGTTGACTAGGCTTGGTCCCTAAGATGAAAGCTAAATTTGTATTTTAATTAAAAAAAAAAAAAAGGCAGACACATATAGTGTGATGTCACAGAAGAGGCTGGACTTGGAGTCCCCTTTGATCTGGGGTTGGTGACCCTGGTCATCTAGTGCTTGTATCTCAGCCAAGTCATCCCACCCTTGTGGACCTCAGTCATGTCCTCTCATGAGGATGGTCGCTCTCCTAGGAGGCTGGGAGGATTACAGGTTTTATAGGATTTTTTTGTATTTATATTATTATATAGGATTTTACATGTTCCCCAATGTTGATTCATGTTGTCAACTATAAAGAACCACGTAAACACAATTAAACAACTAGCAAGCAATCCCTCTCTTCCCTATGCTCTTTTTCCGTGTTTCTATCATGGTACCTGTCATGTTAGGATATTAATAATCCCTGTATCTGTTTTCTCTACTAGATCACATACTCCTGGGATAAGGGTGGTGTCATCTTAGTGTCTGGATCCCAGTGGCTACCACAGACTCTGGAGTAGTAAATGGCAAATATGATGATTATGTTATATTTTAACAAATGCAGAAAATAAAATAAATTCCTGGTCTTGATGACTAAAGTATTTATATGACTTTGATTCACTGCTTCTCAAACTTTCTTGATCCCTGTCCCCCCATTGATAAGCGTAAATATCTCTGCCACTACTTCCCCACCCTCTGTGGCAAATTGTAGTTTTCCCCAGGCCCCTGACAGTGACTGACACACATACAGAGAACACTTGTACATCTCACAGCCAGGAAGCTTTTATCTAACTTTATTTCCTTTGGTTTACAGTACAAAACAATAGAGGTTGTTTTTGTTTGTTTGCCTTCCAAAAATAAAATTATATTATAATATTGAACTTACTTTTGCAAATTACAAATGTCCTCACCTCAAGACTCTGGAACACACTGCAGGGTGGGAGTGCCTTGATTTAATTGAAGCTTTTGCTGTCTGCTCATTCCAGGGGAAGGCTGTCTTTAGCAGCATCTTTATGTGTGATACATGGTCCATTGATAGCTCACTGCTGTCTCTCCAGTTGTTCGCCTCTAGTCCCTTTTCTTTCCACTGACTCTCTTTTCACAGCAGGGGGAGGTTTCAGACCAGATGCTCTTAGGCCTCTGCACTCACACCCATACCAATCCAAAATCTGTCAGTAGCTTTCAGCAAAGGCCTGAAGAGGAAAAGTAACGGCTGATGTGGAATAAAATGACATTCTACTTGCACTTCTGCTGTTTGGTTGGATCTGTCCCAAGTTATTTGAAAACATGAGCCAACTAGACACTTCAACCCCCAACCCCCACAGCCTCATCTCTCATACCCAGTTTTTAATCCCTTCATCCCCTCCAATCTATTCCCCAGCTGGAGTGACTTCCTAAAATAAATCTGATGATGTCATCCTACCCTTACAGCCCTTCAGTTGCTCTCCATTTGTCTAAGGACCTTAGGATGAAGCCCAACTCCCTAACTGACCCCCATCCATGACCTCTGAGATCTGGCTCCTCCCTCTCGGGCCTCATCTCTTGCCACTCCCTCCTGGCTGTCTATGCTCTAAGCAGTACTCAACTTCTTGCATTTCCTCGAACATATCCTGCTTTCTCTTGTCCCTGAGGCTTTGCACCATAAACTACTTCCCTTGGCCTAGAATTCTCACTGTGCATGCCTATCCCTTCACCTCTTTCATTCAGCCTTTTTTTTTTTAAACACAATCGGGCTAAACATTCTGACAAGCATGCCTTCACTCCTAGCCCCCTCCTGCCCTACATGAGGTTAAGGGCCCCATCTAATTGTGCCTATTAGGCCCAGTATTTTCTCTGTATTATAATTGCTACTTTTCCCCTTAGACAGAAACATGGTGCCTGTTATAGGGTAATTATTCAATACAGTGAGTGAGCAAATGAATGAATGAAAGAAAAAAACCATCATCCTCCATGACACTTCACTTGGATTCTCATTGATCTAATTCATTCATTGATTTTCAAAACGTTTTTGTGAAATGGTGAGCTAACCATTGTGTTAGATGCCGAGTATTCAGGGGGAGCAAAGTTAGACCTGGTCTCTGCTCTCATGCACTCCTGCCAGCAGCTCGTAGTACTACATGGGTAATCAGAATAGAAAGCAAAAGGTAACCGATCCTCTGCAAGCTGCTCTGCCTTAGACCAGGGAAGGGCAACGCTGGAGAACTTTCATGCAGCTGGTGAGTTCTGTAACATTGACTTCATGCTGTATCCAACTGCATTCCAGTGTAAGACTGACAAAGACCTTTGCACCACTGAACTTGAAGTAGGTAGGCAGGACAGACAGACAGACAAGCAATATACAATACAGTGTGAGAAGTGCTCTTTAAAGAAAGTACTGCATGTTATGAGGGCAGAGAAGGGTCACCTAGGCTAATCTGCGGAGGAAAAGCTCTGGAAAGACAATGATAATGGTGGAAAATCATACTTAATGACGAGACATGTTGAAACAATGGTCATAGACTAAAATAATAATTTGTAGGTTCCTGAAGCTACTTCTTTGACTCTTCTCTCTGTAGATTGGCTAGCACTTGTACTAAATTGACAATGAGGAAGTTAACCCCATTTGGGTTACTAGGAGAGGTGAGGAGGCTGAAGAGTAGCTCCTATTTGGGTTAGAATGCCTAGTTTATTTTCCTAGTAATGACTAAACCTAAGAAAGCATGCCTGGCTCAAACCTCAAGTGAGAGGCAGAAGGCCTCTGAGTCACAAGGGCTGTTGACACCCAAACCAACAGGAGGCTGAGTCATGCTCACCTGCAGTTGTGGGCAGAGCTGTCTTCTTTCTAGCAAAGCTAAACTTTGGATGATGTCTAAAAGTAATATTAGACAACTTCAGTTCTCACAGAAGAAGCATACATGTATACATATACACACTCTCTCCCTGTTAGCCTCTACTAAAAAAGGCACCTGGCCCATAGTACTACTGGGCACTGGGTTGTTCAGCTGTCTTATGGATATTTGTCCAAATGTTAGAGAATTACTTCATGCGGGAACAACTTTGAATCCCTTCATGCAAAGAAATATTTAAAATAATTTTTATGA